CCTTCTACCGTGTTTGTACACTCAACCCCCCCTTTCGAATGGGCTATGGCTCATCTCATTCCGTATTTTACAGGTTGTGACATCTCCTTGTGAGACCTTGCTTCCTTTGCCTTAACGCTGATATCTTTTCTTTTTTGCACCTTCTTAGCTATAATACAATCCCTGCAGTTGCGAACAGTTGATACTTTGTCGGAGTATTTTTGGCTTTAGTGCACTCTATTGTGAGATGGTTGCCAGCACATTTTAAACAATTGGGTTTTCGATTACAGAATCTCTGAGTATGGCCGTATGACCCTTGACATTTTTTACATTATGGGATCATTTTGCTGTTTTTTATCGTTTGGATTTTGACTTTCATATAATTAATGCAATGAATATTATAGATTCTATTGATGTCCTCAGAACTATCGAAAACTAATATATACCGTAGCAGGCGGATGTATTCCACTTTATTATTTATCATATTCTTTTTAAATTTTTGTGCTACCTCTTGAATCTTATAATTCCTCTCTTCTAGTTCTTTTTTAATGTCTTCCATTGGAGTTGACAGATGCAGATTTTTGGCCATCACTCGTAGTGGCCTAGAGGCTTTATTCTCATATTTGTATGCCATTCAAATTTTGTGTTGTTCATTAAAGATGTCAGTTTTCTATATTCTATATCAGTACTGATATTTACTTAATTTTGATTATTATTCAGCTAGTCATTATCATGCTAGTGCAGTTGTATTTATCTATTTGCAATTTTTCTTTGATTGTTCCATAATCTTTGACATTATTTAGAATAATTGATGGTGGCTTTACTGCTTTGGGAGTTTTAGTTTCTCTAAAGCCAATTTTTCAGCTTTTTCAGGCAATTCTGTGCTTTCTTTTATCTTTGGATTTTTATTTTGTGCTTCCTTTTATCTTTGGATTTGAACATAACCCATCCTGTTTCATTTACATCTAGCTCCAGTTTCCTTTTCATAGCATTTTTTTATAGATCTATAGTTTCTGGTGACTGTTCTGCTTTTTTCTTTTCTCTTTTCAATATCCATTCTGTTTCACGAACTAGTTCTTCTTCATCCGTGTAATTCTTGTTCAAAATAGATTAATATTTTTTGTTTCGGCAATTCTTCTTTAAGTTTATGTATTTCTTCTTGTGCTTTGTTCATAGCAATTTTTAGCCGTTCTATTTCATGTCTGAGAAACTTCTTCTCTTGCTTCAATGTTTCTACTTCCTCAGAGTTTACTTTTGTACTGCGAGCAATTGAGAAGGATGCGCTCCTTCGAATTAGATTTTTATCAAGCAATAGCTAACCCCTCTCTAGAATTCGTAGAGCCTGTCTTCTTGGAGGACGGATTTTCCAGCCGCTCAGCTGGTCTGCCACCTGGGGTAGTCAATTCTGTATTTGTTTTATTCATTACCTGTTTTAGTCTGTTGATCCGCGGGAGGTATTTTATTTCCCTCCTATCATGCAACACCATAGGTGCTGCCGAGCACTTCTCCATCTGCCACTCGGGAGACGCGCTCCCTAGCGGTTACAGCCTCCGCCGGAAGTAAGGAAGTGACGTGCAAAAAGAACATTCTAGAATTACAACGGTTTATACGAAGTGATCTTCTCTTTATTTATTAACCTTCAAATGGCACATGAGCGCGGATTCGCACCGCGAAAATTTTCGAATTGCTGGCATTTGCACAGAGATATTTATCGCGGCTTATCCCCACTACGTTAAATATGCCCGGTACTTCAGGTGACAGGTACGCACATGCACAGCTTCAGATTCGTGCAGATTAACGAAATATTAATTTCGCAAGTTCATTATGGTGCATATTCGCACTTCTAGTCTAAATAGTGTGTGCCATATCGGTGTCTACTTTTAGCGTTTTACACATTTATACACATCGTAATATGTCCCTTTTTTTACATTATGTTATAAACATTGTAATATGTTCCCTTTTTTTACATTATAATAACAAATAAAACATTTGTATGTATAATCTTATTTTATCTGTTTTTTCTGTTTTAACTTCCATGATAATATGAACTTTTCAATATAATTTTAATTATATAAACGATTTTTATTAATAATTTACATTATAAATCACAAGATTTGTTCTTAAAATACCTAATTTTCATTAAATTATTTTTAGAAAAATTTATTAAAAAGATTCAAATTACTATTAAATGAACAAAAAATATTCCAACTTCTGACTATGTGAAAAAATATTTTAATTTCTATTTCTGCAACAACAATAATTTTTTATTAAAGTACATCATTTTAACTAAAGAATCACGTAAGTTTCACTTTATTTCATGAAATAACAAAAAAATGGTAGCTTTTCTTCAAAAAAGTGACGTTTTTCAAAACGATAACTCATTTATAATTAATTTTTGATTGTTCAATAGTTTTTTCATTAAATTGAATAATACTGTTGGATTTGTGAGAAAAATTTTACCCAAAAAAGTGGTTTTCAAAACATTTCTGTTTTTATCCTCAGGAAAAATGTATAATACAATTTAAAATGTCATATCCAAATTCGCACCATCGTTCCATTAGTGGATGCTCAAAAGAAGTGTGCCATTTGAAGGTTAACTATAACAAAAGATTTGTACTGTTAACTTTTTGCTGCCCCCTTGCTAGGGGAGCCTTTGCTATTTGCAGCGCTGACTATAGCTCCTGTATTGCGCTGTGCCGATTTGCGCGTTGCGCCGAGCTTCGCGCGACGAGTAGACGCGCGAATTACATACGTATTTATGCGTCTTATTATGCATTTTGGATAACTCCGAATATATACTAGTTAGTTTTGCTTCCTTTTGAAGAAAATTGCAAAAAAACGTAATTTTTATTTTTGTAATCATTTATTACGTTATTTATTTACGTTGTTACTTGCTTAATGTAGAGATTATTCAAAATGTTGAACTTGCAGCAATGCAAGCATTGCATCTAAGGTAGCTCGTGTTGCAGCCGTTAATCTGGTGATATTCGGTGCATTACAGCTAAGATTCAATTGCTCTCTTTAGTTGACTGGCGAATAAAATTTCTGTTTTAGGGTCCTTCACCGAAAATCTAGTGGTATCAGATCAGGTGGTCTGAGTAACCAAGATATTACTTTTTCACGTCCATCATCGTGAATAATTTCTAGCTAAGCTCTTTAGCTCTACTATAATGAACTAAACATCCATTCAGTTAGAACCACATTTCAATCTGTAGCTTCAGATAAATGTCTTCTAAATAATTAAAGAATTCAAATTAAATTAGAAGCAACGGACTTTAAAGAATAAATCCATATAGTGAAAATAGCCTATAACAGCCGACACGGGTGTTGGTGTGTTAAAATTCTTATTGTTACAATATCTACCATACTCGATCTGCGCGCCGCTCGGTTTGTCGGACTTGAAACACAACTCTTTGTGTGAAGTCGGAAACTTGTAACTTATAATTAAATTGACAAACAATTCAATATCTTTTGATGCTATTATGCATCTATAAACATAATCCCCTCCCTCCAAGCCTGTAAAGAACTTATTGCGAAAAATAACAATGAGAATTTGTATATAAAAAATAACAATAACAATAAAAATGTTAATTCACCAACACCCGTGTTGGCTCTTATAGACTATTTTCACTATATGGATTTATTCTTTAGAGCCTATTGCTTCTAATTTAATTTGAATTTACGCTGCCTGAAAATATGCGTTATACAGTATATCGGTATTGCGAAGAATATCACATGCCTCGGTGGTTTAAAGGTAGGACGCCTGTCCGGTAAACGTGGAGATCCGGGTTCGATTCCTGGCTGAGTGCTGAGGTGTTATTTTTCGCAATAAGTTCTTTACAGGCTGAGAGGAGGAGAACTTATAGATGCATAACAGCATCGAAAGATATTAAATTGTTTGTTAATTTAATTATAAGTTACAAGTATCCGACTTTATGCAAAAAGCTGTACTTCAAGTTCGACAAACCAGCGGCGCGCAAATCAAGTGGTAGATATTGTAACAATAAGAATTTTAACACACCAACGTCCGTGTCGGCTCTTATAGACTATTTTCACAATATGGAATTAAAGAATTGTTCTCAAAAAATCTGTGTGTCTGGCTGTATTTAAATACGTTTAATCTTTTAAGTCATTGCTGCAAGAAACCAACATTTTAAACAATATCTATATTAAGCAAGTGACAACGTGAGTAAATAAGTGTGAATGAATAAATAATAAATGAGTACAAAAATGAAAACTACATTTTGCTTTTTTTACAATTTTCTCCAAAACGAAGCAAAAACGAACATATATTTAAAGAATTTTTTTCGTAATTTATAGATCCTTATATGCTCTTAAAGTGTTGACATTTAAATTCAGGACACCCTGCATATGTAAGTAACATATGGATGCGAATTTGTAAATGCATTTTTGATGTACCTCAAGAAGTTAAGGCGCAAATGATACTCAGGATTCTTTTACTTGACGTAATAAGATAAACATATTTATTGAAGTGGAGGAAGAACGCCAAACACATTTGTTCTCAAATGTTTACAAGCCCTGCCGCGAATTCCCATAGGTATATTCCTATAGGTCATGTCCCATGGGAAAATGACCCAGGTGTCCTATGGATAACCTATATGGGACTTATATGGGACCTTCATCCCAAGTAGAAAATAAACTAGAAATTAGCCAG